CTTTACCCTCTGAGCGTTATGACTGGCTTTATGCGGTCATCAGAAGTTTTGCTACTTGGCATATATTAGCTTATAATTTATGATATTTTACTTTCTTACTTTATTTAATAATGTAAATATCATTTTAATGAATGTACGTTTATGAAAATACAGAGTAAAATAAGTAATTTACAAACTCAATTAATAAATGCTGTTTAAATACCGGCCTTCATGACAGATCTAAAATCCTGTGCCACTCAGAGGGTTAAACAGTTAGACTGAAGGGTACCCTTTGTATTATCGCGAAGTTGTTTCATTTATCGCCAAGTTGTTGTTTCATTTATTGCCAAGTTGTTGTTTCGTTTATCGCCCAATCGTTGTTTCATTTATGATAACCCTGAGTAGTTGAATGTTCCGTAAATATACTTTTACCTAGAATTCGGTGCTCCTTTGACTTTTTAAGTGAAAATAGGTTGATGTGTACATGGATAAAATCAAGGGCCAAAACCCCAAAACCTGTAATTCTGTTATGTTTTTTATGTGAAAATAGGTCAGTGTGTACATGGATACTGAGTTTGTGCAATTCTTTGACTTTGAAAAATCGCCACTACACAAAGACAAAAGTCAAAGAATTGCACAAACTTGGTATCTATATACCGCCAAGGGATACCCGTAAATATACTTTTACCTCATAAACTAATTTTTTTATATTCAAAATTAAATATTCAACTGCTAAATAAAGAGCTAATAACGTTTCCTCCATGAAACTATGAAATTATTTATAGAACCCCTGTACTTATAGAACAGTATATCTTTGAAATTTCTGATAGATAGCCTCGTGAACTGGAGATAAAAATGGTGTTTCAAACAGTGTTGCCGCTGCTCTCTTCCAAATTATAGAGTTTGCTAATCACAAATTCATTAAAATTGTACAAAGTATAAAATAAATAATAAAAAAAATTCGAAAATCAAAATTCCGGGCTTCCAAGTGCAATGTTCATGTGGAGGACTATGTTATCAAAATTGGATGGTTCGAGGTACCATCATGTTCTCACTATGTGGAGAACATATATAAGTGCATGGAGATTCTTCATAATTTCATTTCTTTAAAAAGATTTAGTAGTAAGAATTTGAAAAATAATATGTGCAATAAAAAAGATAGTGAACAAATCTCAAACAACAAAATCTCATTTTGAGACTAAGAGCTCCTTTTGGCCTAATAATTAAGATCTAAATTCAATAAAATATAAAGAGATACATAAAAAATGGTACTACAGTCAAAAGTCGTTAATTCGGACACCCATAATTCGGAATGATCTATAATCCAGGCCTCAAAGCTACAAACTTTCTGCGCATGCGTCGCGTTGACCTTTACGGCTGCGAATATGCGTGTGTGCATGCGCATAATACGTTTATGCATACACGTTTAATGTAAAACGGACGGTATAAGCTAAAATTATCTATTTCAGATTTGCCCTTTACTTCGTGAAAACAAAATGGCATCCAAACAAAAATTAGCAGGTTGCTGTAGCAGGGTTGTCGCCAAATTTTCGACAAAAAATTGCCAAGTTACCATAATCCAAAGGTTAACTCACAGTAGTTTTCAACCTTTTTTGCTCCATGCACCCCTTTCACTATAGCTGAATGATCCCCCCCCCATTCCTTTCTCTAACTGGAAAATCACATTTATTTCAATTTAGATTATTTTTTTACCATGTTTTCATAAATTAAACAACAAAAAGGTACAAAATTCTGATAAATACCAAAACATGAATAAAAGTAGTTTTTTTATATTCAAAAATCACACTGCATTTCTCTCCTAAAAATATGAAATTCTGCCCTGGTTGACACCCCTGCTCTAACACTTTCTGATCACGGACAGACCTCTACCAATAAAATAATAATTCTCAAGCAGAATATGACAGGAGGAAAAATTTTTCCCTTAGTTCCAGGGCTTGGGAAACCCGCTGTGATAAATTCATTGCCCCTTGCAGAGAATAATCTCGTACAGAGATATATAGAAAGAGAACATGTGGGTGGGTGGGTGGGGATTTCTTTCCTGAAATTCTCAACCAGCATCCAAGGACTTGTTTCCCAGAGAAAGAGATGAATGCATTCAGAAGTTACAATAAATTTTTTATTTGATTTTACTTTTAAAAAAAATTTTGATATCACAAGAATTCTTGCTGAAATTATGGTTCAGTTACATAAAAGATGTAAAGTTATATTTTGAAAGATGTTTTGAAGTAATTTGAAAGCAAAATGTTAATAATGTTTTAACGGGGATTGGAGTTAAATCATCATGAAGAACCACCTTCGTATTTACGCATTTTTATTAATTATTGTTCATTGAACGGGAGTTGGTTTGTTCCCCTTGAAAAGTCAACTAATTTCCGATCAATGACAATGATTACATGTTTTTAATTTTCCTTTACAATTGAAATTTGTTCTTCATGATGATTTAACCAGTCCCCGTTAAACATTATTAACATTTTGCTTTCAAATTACTTCAAAACATCTTTCAAAATATAACTTACCAGTATAGATTCACTCTTTAAAAATATACTTTAATTAAACTAGGAGTAAACAGTCAAAAGTCGTTAATTCGGACACCCATAATTCGGAATGATCTATAATCCGGACATCAAAACTAAAAACTTTCTGCGCATGCGCCAGTTGACACATGCGCAGAGGCGTTCACGCGTGGCGTAAGACCTTTTACGACTGCGCATGAGTGGCGCAAGTGCAGAATACGTTTTCGCGTGCACATTTTATGTATAATGGACGTATAAGCTAAAATTATCTAATTATCTATTTCATTAATGTTGATGATGCATTGTTCCTTACTTTTCGATTGCATCGGCTTATTATTTTTTGCAGACTGTAAGAGCAATTTATAAAAGTAAGCTTAAACTTCGATTATATCAAATAGAATTTCCGATATATATTTGTTAATATGTAAAGGATCTAAAGCGAAAGTATGTTTTGAAAATCCGAAATCTGTTTATCAATTTCACACTGCTCGGCGGCGGCACCTAATGAATTGGAAGTTGATTTGTCAGCACTATGGTTATCTTCAGAGCAGATGTTTTATTTTATTGGCTTATAATTCCTTACCAAATGTAGTATTTCATCTCGATATGCTCCGTCTTTGATATGATTTAAAACAAGTTCCTCGTCATTATAATTCACTTCCGATAGCGAAGAAAAGTGACAGAGGTTATTGAAAACAAAAAAATTTCGATTGACAAATTAGTCGGTGTTCTTGACACAGCAATTATAGGACTTGAACGGCGGAACTTTGTAACTGAACAAGAAATTATGTCTGTTTAATAGAATTAAATTGAAAGTATTATCACATGAAACGAAGCAAAACTTAAACAACTTACATTGAAAAAAATGTTTAATAAAGTAAACAAATAAATATTAAGCTTTTTCTTTTTGCAAATTTTGATACCCTTTAGATCATAATTGTTCTTTATTTCATAAATTATGGTTTCACATTTTTAATTTTAGAATTTCTGCATGCCATCTTACGAGATTTAAACTGATGATCTATAATCCGGATTAACGACTTTTGACTGTATAATCAATTAATCAATATTGTTTAGGAAATAAATTATTATTAACTAACTTTGCAGCAATTGCACAAGTAGTAGTAACTTGTTTTTGCACTACATGAATTTAAGATCATACAACATTATATATGTATGTGTATGCACATACAAACAAACGTTTATATGATTCTGAATCCGATCCCATTAACAGAAAACTACCCAGATAAATTGCTAATTTGAAAGAAATATACTTTTGCATAAATCTTTGGCTGCATGCAAATTTTAGCCACATAAACATATATTTTACAAATTTCACAGAACATTTCATTGCAGTTTTGATCAGCAATATTAGTAGATTAATTATGGCAAAGCACTTTAGAGTATTTAATTAATAAATGAGTTAATGGAGGATTTCTTATACTAGAGATAAGTAAAGTAACATACTTGTCCTACTGAATTGCTTGTTAACATGTTTAATAGATTCATTAATCAAATCATACATGAACAATTTAGAGATAATAGTTCATATCATGAAAATCAGCTTAGTCTACATACATAGTTTCAAGATAAAAACTAGAAATCATATTAATTTAAAGACGAAAGAATAGAATTTGCTCCCTTTTACTTAAAATTTTAAAAAACCGACTGCAAGTTGCTGCTTAGCAGAAATTCAAATGGTACTTAAATTGAATTTCTTATTAACAGAGTACAATAGTAGTCAAAAAATGTTCAGTAGAATAATGTTTCAATTTACAAAAAATAAGAGCTTTTTGTATACTTTACAAAAAACAGTGCATTTCAGGGATGGCATGGTCTGAGTGTTTATTAATAGCCAATATTAGATTTATATGTTAAATAGTATAAAATCTACATTATCTTTATTCTGTTTATAAAACATATAAAAACAGAATAATCCTCAAACTTATATTTTTAAATTTAAAGATGAATTAATCGAGTTTGCACAGCATGTGTAGTAACATATGTTTAACACAGCTTTGCGCTGCACACGGCATGTATTTCCTGACTTCTTTGTTTCTTTTAAATTTAAGGAAAATAACGTATGCCCTCATTAAATATTTCTTTACTAGATTACATTAGGTTCATGCAAAAGTTCTAGAATAATGAAAAACAGCAGTCTTTTTTTTTTTTTTTTTTTTTTTTTTGAAGTCATCTTTTAAAATATTATATTTTACAAAAAATACGCTTTTCTCATGTGGATACTGTTCAATGTAAGATTTAGACTATAAGATTTAAAAATAAAATATACAGTGAATTTTTCAACAGTTTAAAAAATAACCTTAGGCCAACTCAGTTATTGTACAGTGGGTGTGGACTATTTAAAAACAAATGAATTAATATTTTAGATAACAGAAATTCAAAATTTGCAATAGCACTATTTAACTAATAAATGAAGATTCATGAAATTTTATATTGTAAAACTGAAAATGTGAATTATCTACTTACAAAAGAAATTTCGTCAGCGATTTTCCATGCACTCAGAACAAAGCTATAATATACTATCTCAAATGTAATCTTAGGAATACATTTCTCTTTTGGTTACTTCTATAAATAAATATTAATTCAAATTTCAGAAAATAACCTGAACAGCACGTTACCAACTATACACATTCACATTTCGCTTTCTGCAGTTTGAAGTAGTTTCATATTTTGCTTTGCACTGGCGAAATCTTTTTGCCCGTTTAGCATCATCGTCCGACAATTACATTTTCATTTGAAAAGACTGGTATAGAATTTCCCAACCAGATGGCGGAAATTGCCAAGACTAATTTATTTCGCAATCCCTAAGGTGCTTTCTGGGATTAATGAACATTCTGTTTTGAACAGTGCTATGTAGATCAGCATAAAATATTTGTGATATGAATTATCGAAAAGATTCGGTAGGAGAACGTAATATTAAGTGTTTGTATTTATAATCACTAGATTACGCACCTTGAATAAATTTCAGATTTCTTTACTACTGGTGAAGACGGACCTGTACCTGCTTGCTCTCGAAATCGATTGAGATCTTGACTTAAATCTACGCCGAACTCAAGGTAGTTGTGTTTATTGCGGCAATTACAGCAGAAGGTTATTGTTGTGTGCCTTTTAAATAAAATTTTTGTTAAAACTGTTAATATAAGGGCTCAATAAATTTCAAGAACTTACCCCTTTGATGATTTTCTTGAGGTTGTATTATATTCCGGATGGCTACTAGAAAAAAACTAACGTCTTTAATAAATCATTCATCACATGACTTAGCTTTTCTTAGTTTTGTACTGACATATTATTTACATTTTTAGTTAAAAAGGATTATCATTTAAAAAAACAATATTCTATTACAGCCGATTCAAAAGTTCCCAAAAAATCGAGTTTAATAATGCTAGTTCTACAGTTATCGTCTTTTTTTTTTTTTTTTTTTTTTTTTGTTGTTGTTGTTGTTGCCAAGACAGTTCGAATCAAAAGCGGTTTTCTTTTTCTCCTTTTTCTTTTACCGGAGTAGTTGCCAACATGTTACTAATTTTATGTTTCTCTTCTGCTTTTAATATATTTGTTATTAAATTGTGAAGTCTGTCCGTCTACAAACTTAATGGCTTAGAATTTTGTTTAGCTTAAAAGTTGTGTGTATAACGAATTGATACATGCCATATTTAGCATATTATAAAAAATGCAGAGGCCTTCTATACCTTTTTCTTCCTCAATTCATATGGTGACACACTTGATCGAAAGCATCAATTGTTCCCTTTGATTTGTCATAGTTACATATAGTGACATACAACTTGAGGTGTCAAAGTTTTATCATCAATGTATGGTTGGTTCTTGATGTGCTGATGATAAAAGCAGTAGGAGTTTATCTATTTTTCATTTATATGATAGTGCGATTAAATCCTTATGGATTGAAAAAAAGTGAAGTTCCTATTGCTCTTTATTGAAATTTTACATCAACAAAATCTTTGGATATTTTCTTTTGCTCTTTTTATAGCACCTGCTACAGTCAACTGATCTTCATTTAGAAGTGACTGATAATGGTATATTTGTAAACGAGTTATCCATAGTTATATTTTGGTGTTAATTTCTTATGGTTTTATTTTTTACAAAATAATCAGCAGCTGGTTGCTTATTTAGAACAGTTCCTTTACTCAAATAAGGAATTGCATCAATCATATTTTGTGGTATTATCACACATCATCACTAATTCCATATTTATCTGGTTTGGAAGGGATATATATCCTAAATGGACGAGTCGTTCATCTATTGTTACATATGCTGAAGGTTTGTAATTTTTTTTTGGCAATTCATCAAAAATTTTTCCTGAACTTCAGAAATAAGAGCAAATTTACATCAAGCCCGGCGTTCTTACAATCAAATCAAATTTAATTTAAAATATCTTGACCAGGTACTTTTGAGACATTCATTGTAATTAATGCAGATATTTTGTGTATAGCTAAAAATTTAAGTCATCATATGAAGATCAAATGCCTATTTTTTTTGCTGTCCTTCTTAGTTTCACTTTCTTTTATATTTCTGGTTGCTTCTTGAATCATACCATCTTTTAAAGATTGTGTTTCTTCTTTTTTTGGAGGCAAATAAAGTGGATCATCAAAAATGTCATCACATTCCCACTCCATTATATCTTGTTCAGCTGAAGATAATTATCCTTCATCCTCAAAAATCATTTTTAATGCTTCATCTATATCTAATCCTTGCTTTCACGATATCTTTTACTAAAAATAGGGAAAAAAATACCACGAAAAGTACATAGATATTTATGACTTATTATTTAGAATTAAATGACGTTAATTATAATAAATTTTAATTAAAAAGTTCCTTTCTCTGTTTGTTAAATTAAAACAAATATCGTATACAAAATTAGTCTTAATACTAACTATGAGTAAATATTACTTAAAACATTCTATTAAAACTAACTATGAGTAAATTTGATTTACCATACAAAAGTAGAATTGAATTTCCTGAAACACAGAAAATATCCCACATTCAGTTACAAATGCATCTTAAAGACAACTTAGATAGCATATCTGAGTGATAATGGCACATGTGCACGATTTAGAAGTTACGCGTGCATTTCTTTGTTGTGCAAGTAACATTTATACAGGTTAGTATTCTACGAAGGGAAAGAATGCCCTCATGCAGGACATTCTAACGGAAATTGGCATTCCACATTACACATGGGCTAAACCATAAACATCTATGTGTCTGGAATTGAAGATAGGTAGTGTACCAGTGTTCAGTAACTTAATTGCTGTGCCACAATCACATAAAGTAAAAAAGCTGCAATCATCAAAACACTTAGTCTCCACAAGCAACCTAATCTGGCCATAATTTCCTACAGATTAGCATCACGGTACTATGATTCACTTGCTGTCAGGCCTTTCTTAATAATAAAAGCAATGCAAAATATTGAGATAATGCTCTTAGAAATCTCTGAAAGTCATTTGAGGCATTTTGTTCAGATTTGTTTGCAAAGTTGAGTCATTTTATTCTGAGGCATTTTGTTCAGATTTGTTTGTCTGATGAGGTTTGTCATCTGAGTTTCCAGTGTATATTTTTTTAAATATTTTCTCCTCTCACTTGTAAACATTTTTTAACAGCATGTAATTTTTGGCACAAAATGAAAATCCATACAGTGTAAAGTTAATTTCCAGCCACATCGGAGAAACCTCTAGCTGAAAGACAACCAAGGTATGCAGGTGAAATATATTCAAGATTTTAAAAAGATATCTTAAAATACAAAGTTCTTTAGCAGTCACACAAAGTAAACAGTCCTTTAAAAAAAAATCGGCCAGTACATTCAAGTGGGCACTACGAATTACGGTGTTACCAGTGAAAAAGAAAGGTCTTGCGATTGTATCACATGCAACACTAAAAAGGAATTAAAAAAATTAAATAAAAACAATTTGCACTTCTTTCCTATTTTAGAATTTTCCACTTGTCGTCCTGAAAGTGGTAACAGAAATCATGCCATTTCAGACTTTTCCGTTACCTTTGCAGGTATTTAAGGAGAAAACATCAAACCTCGTGCCTTTTCTTTCTATAGCCCGTATATATTTTATGATTGGCGGAGGGACCTTTTTCTGTGCGGGAGAGTGGCTTTCAACAAAGGACGGGACAGAACGATAACATATATACTCTACCACCTGTAATTATTACATGAAAAGTTTTCATAATATTAGATCATTCATGATCCCAGGTTCCACTGTATTTGGAATGACAGATTCTTTTCTAGTTACAATAGACACTGCTCAGGGCTGTAGCTAGAGTTTTCAGCGCCCAGGGACAGCTGAAGATTTTGTGCCGCCTTCTGTGTGCCAAGAATGGAAAACATTTCATTATAAAATTTCGCGATGCCCCCTGGATGCTGCGCCCGGATAGAGATGTCCCACCCTAGTTATGCCACTGATACTGCTGAATGTTATCATTCAGATATTTTTATCGAATTAATGATGCCTGGACCATTTTCACCCAAAAATGTGGAAAATATATCACTTATTGTGATCAACAAGTCGGTTAATGTAATCAAAATATTACACAGTGAATTTTTTAAATTAGAGTAATGACGTCAAATAAAGTTGCCAAATGGCAGAGTTATGCCATCAAGCAATTTAATTTTGATTTAAAGCAACATTAAACTGACATTGGAATCCTGTCTAAGAAAAAATGATACATAAACAAAGAACTGTTTTAAGCATGCCAGCCTTTTAATAAATGATAAAGAATTAAAAAATAAATAAAAGATGAAGAATTAAAAAAGCCTCCAACTAATATGAATTGTGAGGAATTTAATGCTTAGATGGATATTTATGAGAGCTGCAGATTCAATGACAGAAGGAGATAATTAAATAATAATAAATTAATTCTCAGAACCATTACATGCACAGTTCAGAAAATGAACTTTTATGTAAGAATTACAGACAATCAATAGTTAATAATTATTTCTCTGTAAAATGCTGTGAAAATAAATATTTAGTTATATTTATATTAAATTCCATTGATATTTCAACAAAAAACTTTTCTTATCCGATAATATCAAAGTAGTAATGGACAAGAGTGATCACATTTAGTGGTGCCTACTGTAAATTTTCTGATTTATATGAGAAAAAAAGACACCAGCGTAAAATATAAAATTAGGCAAGAACAACTTCATTTTAGCAAGGTAAAACCAGTTATTATTATTGTTATGTGTTACTGATAAATTTATGAAAATTGAATAAAGAGTTAAGTCAAAGTGATCATACCAAAATAAATAAATTTCTTTTTTTCAGTTGATGGATGCTATAATAAATAATTAATTAAACAAATTTTGTCTCAAAAAGACCACAAGGTCAGCAAAAGATTATTTCTTAGATTTATTATTAATCTCTTTCAATTATACAATATTCCACTATGGAATTACAGTTACGTAATTACTCATTACTTGGACAAATGAGAACATGTGGGATAATCTACCTGTTATCATTATTTTTTAGTCCTTTGAAAATATATTATCCCAGAGAATATGGTAGACAAGCAATCAAGACCACACAGTTGTAACACTGTCATAAAACTGCTTCAAAGTTTCCTTGCCCATGCTCCGTGATCTCTTGCATGAAGACTAGCTTTTCGTACCACTTCCCTGTCCATCGTTTAAACTTGGAATTACTGAACCATTATTATTTTACTTCAAATTCTTTCACATACCATA